TTGTAATCATGTAGGCGAGACACCTAATGGAATTAGACAGGAACTCTCATCCGGCTCAGAGTTGTACTCCCCAAAGGCACACGAACTAGCAAATAAGAAGACAGATGAAAGCATTCCTTGCCCGCCCCATGAGCTTGGAGGTTGTGGTGATGGTATCTTGAACATGAAATGCCTTTTACCATTTGGTTGGAAACAGAAGACTGATACTGCCCAACCAGTTACTCCCAGTCATGATACATGAGGTTAGTCTTTTCTCTAAATTGTTATCTTACAACTTATGAATGCCATACTTGGATATAGTGGCAGTTCTTAAACTTATGGCAGATGATACTTGGATATACTTGGATATAGTGGCAGTTCTTAAACTTATGGCAGATGATAAATTGGTGGTAATCTCTCTTTGCTGCAGGTTGCATGTTGGATGAAGATCTTGAGTGCTTCTAGGATCACCAGAATAAAAAGTATAATGAAGGAATTTAAGGGTACTGCATCATTCATTAACATTAACATAAAACAATGAGCCAAGAGCTGATTTTATGAAAAAGGCTTTGGTCTGAGGTATGTGTTTTTAACTTGAAGACTGGATGATGAAACATCTTCACCTCATAAAATTTTCTAATGAAATATAGTTTACAGAATATTTCACATTGTCCTTTAAGTTTGTTGTTTAGGCTCAATGTTATATTTGATACCTTGATCTCACTTCCATATGAAACTTATTAATTAAGGCAGTGAATCCCATGTTCAAAAGACATGTCTTGAATGATTACTTTTTTTCATGTAATAAGGATTTTCCATGTGATTTTGCAAACAGCGTTTTCCAGATTTATGCAAGTGATATAGTCAAATGAAACCGGTTGTTAAGTTGCTTAAAGGAGTTATACATTAAAAAGAAATCACGCTGTAGTTTATTTCTTCTTCTTCTCTCTTTTTTTCTTTTTTTTTTGGGTGGGGGTGGGGGGTGGGGGTGGTCAATTCAGGGACAATAGTTTAGCAACTTCTCACGAGTTTAAATGGCTGAAGATTAATAATGACTGATAATCATGAAACAATTGCAATAATAATCTCAAGGAGCCAACTAACAAGTTTTGTCAGAAACAATCTCAACCAACTAGAGTCTTGAGAGATAAGAAAACAACACAGCAATTATTATTGCAATTGTTTGTGGGCGTGGGGGGTTGAGATCTTGAAATAATGAAGGTATATGCGGCTTATGCCAACTAAATTAATCAATTCAGGGACAATAGTTTAGCAACTTCTCACGAGTTTAAATGGCTGAAGATTAATAATGACTGATAATCATGAAACAATTGCAATAATAATCTCAAGGAGCCAACTAACAAGTTTTGTCAGAAACAATCTCAACCAACTAGAGTCTTGGGAGATAAGAAAACAACACAGCAATTATTAGTGGTTTTTCACCCTGTTGCATATCCACTCCCTTAAGTTCCTCCACTGCCTTAATTTCCACTCCACAATCTCCTCCTGAGATCAAACATTTTACACCTTGGATTCAGAGGAAATGCTCCTTCAGTGGTCTACCTCTCTCCATTGAGGTTTTCCTCTCAAAGGAAATAAAAATTTCAACAATCTTGTTGTAGACCTAAATCCAATAACTTTTCTTCTACCCGGTAAATGAGCTGGTTTGCTCATTAAAGCACAAACTGTAATTAAGAGAATTGGAGTTTGCATTGCTAGAATTTTGCAATAGAGTTTAAGTAATGATGGGATTGTTTTTCATCTATGTTACATATGTTACATGAGTACTTCAAATTGGATGTCGTACCCAGTACCCGACACGTAGCCGTACGCGTATTGGAACTCTTTGGATATTTCTGGAATATATGCATACATTTATTCAGGCTTATACTCAATTATATAATACATGTTTTAATTTAAAACAATCCTCATACACTTCTTGGATGTATATTCTACACTTCACATCTATTTCCTATATTTCAATCTTATGTAAATGAAAAAACACTATTGATCTTATTATTAATTTTAATGCATATAAATGCACATAACGCACATATATATAGCTGCGTTCCCGTACCCTGCCTTCTGCAAATTTGTCGTGTTAGTACCCACACTCATACTAGTACTTGCACCCATGCAACTTAGTTTCTCATTGATATTGTCATTGGTGATCACTCACTTTAAATAGACATGACTTGCATGTTGATATCACCAATCAGCTTTTGTGACTGTAGATCCTCTAAAGTATAAGGGAAAGTAGTTAACAATTGAAAGAGTTAGTTGTTTGGAAACTAAAGGAGATTAGTTGGAGTTTAGAAACCAATAAATTGAAAATGATGATAGATTGTGAGATAAAGGTATTGCAGGGGAAACAACAATAATATAACTAAGGGCCTTTGGTATTGCTAGAGCTTATAATAAGTCGATTATAAAAACAATTTATAGAAGCAACTTATAGAAGTTGCTGAAAATAGTTCTTTGGTAATTAAATATCAAAAACTGCTTAAAAAAGCAATTGAGGTGTTTGGTAAAGCTGTACTTAATGGTCATTGTTAAAAGATAAAAGGTATATATGGTATATAAACTTAAGAAAAGCAGAAGCAGCTTTAAAAGCATCCTCAGGTCCCTCTTAAAAGCAGAAGCAGTTTCAATAAGCATGCCAAGAACATTTTCATCAAACACCATTATTGACTACTTCCTGAAAAAAATAAGCAAAAGCACCCTAAAAAAAGCAATACCAACATGCATAGATGCACAATGTTGAACTACAACAGACTGCTTATAATTCTTGTGGTTTGTACTATGGCAAAACATATACTCAATCCAGCATGCACGGATGCACAATGTTTTTTGCATGTCGTTCAGATTGAATATTTTGTGGAGCATGGTCCTGTTAATAACTACCCTTGCTGCAGTATGCATATGATCTAGTTAAGGATTTAATTTTCATAGTGCAATATTGTAAGTAAGCTAATTTTGTGCGCTATTTATGTATTGATGCATCTCCTCCACAGTTGCTCTGCAAGTTTGTCCGGTTTCTCTGAATGCTTCGTATGCATCATCCTAGTGAAAGAGCATAATTTACCTACCTTAGGGTTCAATAAATCTCCGTTAGTTGAACTTATTTGTTCTTTTATCTTCTGAATGCGTTCTGCCTACCATATGGTTATGACTACTACTACCATAACTGATACAACATTGACTTTTTCCAATTCATGTCACAATTTTGGCACGCAAGGGTTTGGAATGTCTAGGACAATGTGGTCCGTTGGTTATAATCTAGCAGGGGATCAGAGGACAGCTGTTCTATCAACATGCTATTTTCTATGTGCTGCTAATGCTACAGGATAAAGGAGGTTTATCTTAGACAGACGCCAACACACAAAAAAAAATTAGTTCGATTAGATGAAAATGAATCCTAGGAAGCCTTCTCACATATATTTGGGATTAAGGCTTTGTTCTTCTTGTTGTTTAGTGCCGCCATCAATTCTATCTTCCTGGTCATAGTTATTCGTTTAGACAGTTCTAATTTCTTCTCAAGCCGATGCATATGTCTCATCATTTGTGCTTTATTCTTAGCTAAATGCTGGAAATCCCCCTTAACTTTGGACGATTATCAGATAATCCCCCATAACTTTCTAAATATATCAGAAAACTCCCCTTAAGTTAGGGTTTTAACTTTTAAGGAGTTATCAAAACCCCAACCCACCCAAAACCCCCAAAAAAATTTAAGAGTTTATCTGGAAATTCCCCTTAGAGCGTAAACCACAGTATTCATCAGTGAAAATATCCCCCTGTATTTTTTTTCTCCCACGAGTGTGAAAATTGCAGTTAACACTGTTTTTTTTTGTGGGTGGGGGGGTGGGGGAGGGGTGGGGGGATAAATTCTTAAAGCTAAAGGAGCTTTAGTGATTACCCCTTAAAACCCCTAACTTAAGGGGGGTTCTTTGATATTTTGAAATGTTACAGAGGGTTACCTGATAATCGTCCACAGTTAAGGAGGGATTTCTGATATTCAGCCTTTATTCTTCTCTAAAGTAAGAGAGCATCTGTTTATTAATGCAGTCCCTGAGGGCCAAAATAATGTGGCAAAATTAACAGGTCAGACCTATAGGCCAACCTCTAGGTAGACCTCGCCGTCCATCATGAAACTATACTACTTTTATCCTGTAACCCATTTTTCTTCTAGCGTCTAAGCAGTAGCATGTACCTTCATGTATTTGATTTGGTGAGGTTGATATCAGCTGTCTCTCAACTGCGTATTGGCTTTTTCACTTGGAACTCAAATCTTTTTGCCGAGGAAGTTCCTTAACAGTTAAAATTGCTATGGATATACGAGACATATCAAAGACTTCCAATATAGATGAACTGCCAAACTGCAAGTTAGGCTTTTTTCCCACCATTTTAGTTGAACGAAAGACCTGAGATTAGCATGTACACCAAAGGGAGCTGTTACACGGAAAACCTGCTTTTTATTTACCATTTGACCATTTTAGTTACTCTTTGAGGTTGGAAATTTGCTCCCATTTGGATTTATTTCTCTTTACTGCTTATTTTGCAAGTGAGACACTTCAGTTGGTAACTGTTGTCGTTACTTAATGCAGACATGCTCTGAAGGTCCAAGACATGTGAGTGGCATAGTGTCTGTATAAAATCTGAACAAAGAAGATGCTAGCAGGAAGGTAAGTAATATGCAATAGCTGTAGACTATAGTCTGAGATGTAAATAAAGTTGATATCCATGAGTACCATATGCTTATCGTCGGACATAAAACTCTTTTGGATGTAGAATGGTAATCTTGGCCAGTCCGGAGCCTTACAAATGTTGTGCTATCATGTGCTAAAGTTTGTATCAAGGGATTTTTGCTAATCGGTGAACTCTTTTGGATGTAGAATGGTAATCTTGGCCAGTTCTCTGAAGAAAATTTACTTTTAGAAGTTCTCTGAAGAAAATTTCTTTTGTGCATCTTATTCCTTCAAGTTTTCTTATTTCTTTGGCAGCCAACTAATTGAAGATAGATTTCTCTGTTATTTGCCAGTTATTTGCCTTCTCAGCTCACTTTATTTGAGACGAAACTGACTCTTAACTGGCAGGATTCATGAAATTTGTTCAATTTCCCGTGGATGCAATTCAGTGATCAGTTTCTCTCTGTCTCCCTCTCTCTGCATCCCAACAGGGGTGCGGTGTTTCGCGAGACGAATTGTGATGAAAAGTTCACACAAAAATGCAACTATCCAATTAGGACTCTGCGTAACTATTAATGAGTATCAGTTCAAAACAAGGCCCGTCCTGTGAACTGGAACAATAACGATCAAACTCCAGCTTTTTCACAAGATCAAATATTCCAGTGACTAGCAAAAAGACTATAACACATATTTATATATATTTCTCTCATCCCTCTCCCCCCCCCCCCC